TTAATTAGCTAATTATTTTGATGGGATTAATGTCTGATTTTGAAAAATGTAACAGGGAACTCATAATTAAAACTTCACTTAATTCTAATAATTAACTTCACCATCTACATTTTTCAGTAGTATTTATGGTATTTTTTTCTCAAAGAGCGAGTTAATGAATGTTTTCTTATCACATCTTTGTGTATTAAGTTTGCCAGTCCTGAGGGTCTAGGAGTTCCTCTCATTTCTAAGCAATTCAAGATACAATTTATATATAAATCAGGACAGCAATGTTTCTGATTTACACAGACATGCACAAATATATATATTTATTTGTATCTTTGCATATGTGTCATTAATACAATATGTCTACAGCTTTCTCCTGGTAGGAAAGCTTTGCCTTCACATTGGTGGACTGACTGATCAGAAACTAGTTGATGTTCGGCAGTGACAACTATTCTGTCTTTGGAGCTGAACTGTCCCAGGTTTGACAGTATTTGGACAAGGGACCCTCTGTTTTAAAGCCTCTTTCCTCAGTTCTTGTTCAAAGAAAAGTCATTATGTCTGTAACAGGGGAACCACAGAAGTAGTAGCAACAGAAAAGGCTTCTTATTTGTGCAATTCAACTTAAACTCCAAAGATACCAAAGACTAGGTGAAGCCTGAGATTGTTTAGCTCTTCTTGCATTATCCCTGACTACATCCATAACCTTGCAGGTAACTTCTTTGCCCCAAATTCCCCAATATGAAATGAGGACAATGATGTTCAGAGCACACTATAAAGGAAAGTGAGCTGTCTCAGAGAAAGTGACATATAAAGATTAAAGTTTTAAGGAAAATGCTTGTCAAAAAAAAACAACAACCCCAAAACACCACAAGAAAACAAAGCTTGCTAAGTATTCTTGAATTGTGAGTGGAACTGAAGTCTTGAACCACTACTCTTTTTCATAGGAACACATCTGTGTAACTAATTTATTCAACTTTTCATTTGTTTCAGCTAAAAGCTATTTCAGATTTTACAGAGATGTCACATGAAAGTTGCTCTTTAGTTATACATGTGCATGGAGACTCAATTCATGTGCAGTGGAGTTGCTTAAGAAGTCCAGCTCAGACTTTTCTTAAGACTCCCCAAGCACATCTGGTTTGTGTCAATCAGTTGCTACCTCAAAATGTTTTCATGTTTCTAGATGGGAACAGCTTGAAGTGTCATAGAAAATCGCTTGTGTGCCATACAGACAACAATACTTAATTCCATAATTAGCTTCAGGCAGTGAGACAGCTGGAAAGATTTTTTTGCCAATTTTTAAGCTTGTTTTTGCAGATTTTTATTAAAATGAAAGCTGCTCATTAAAATTGGGGGATTGGACTAGATGATCTTTTGAGGTCCCTTCCAATCCCTAACGTTCTGTGATTCTGTGAAAATAGCTTTTGTCTTGAACTCCCAGACCTTGTTTGCAGGAGTGTTTCTGTATTTCTAATAAAATAAAGAAAGAACATGCATCATAAAACTTGATGATATTTAGAACAGAAAATACATACAATAATCTGATGTCTTGTGTATTATAATGAGATAGAAGACACAAAATTACTTAGCGTTAAGGATTTGAATGCATCCCTAATGAGGATAATGTCCTGCCCCCAGGTTCTTATGGTACAGAAGAACTAGATTACAAAGGAGAGATGTGAAAAAAAAATACGTGTGCTGATGAGTTCAAGATACAAAATATTGTTAGTTCAGAGAAAATTAGAATTGAAGTCACAAACTGTAACACACATGGAAGTGTGAGAAAATCCACTGAATCCTCTGCCTGGATCTGGGAGAATGATTTTGAAGAAAAGGTAGAGATGGCTGAGCAATTTGTCACCAAAACCCTTCTGGTTTTAAGGAAATTCTTCTCCAGTGACACCATTGGTGCTTGGTGCCCTGTGGCTGCAGATGCTTGGTTGCACAGCAGTGCAGAGAGCACACAGCCTGGGGACTCAGTGTGGGCATTCCTTAGGTTGGGCTGGGGATGTGGGAGTCCCAGGTGAACCTCACCATCCTAGGTAAGCACATTTCAAATGCTTTTTAAATAAAACCATTTCTAACCACTTCCCTCGCTGCCCCAGTGGAATTTCCCCTATTTTGCTGCAGGAAATCTGTGATATTTATAGCTTTTTGCTGTAAAATTGAAAGATTTCTCCCACCACCTCAATTTTCAGAAGTTCTTAGGAAAAAAGAATCTCGACTCTCAGCTTGTGTAGTGCAGCCTGCTGGTGCATTTTTCAGAAACCTGTAAAATACACAAGAGACTGTCTCGTACCTTCTACCTGCTGCCACTGACCTGGGCAGATTCCTTGCTCTTGCATCTGCTTGTTGTGGGAGTCACCTCTGCTACAAATCTGGAGGCTACCAGGGCTTGTCCCTGTCACCGATGCAACACAGGGACTATTTTGCACACTGCCACTGAGTTGTATGCATTTTATCATGCACAGCTGCCCCTGTGTAATTAGTCCTTCAGGTAGCTGGTGAAGCTGATGTTTGGCCATGCCCATGTACAGGCAAGTGTGGAGCAGTGCAGACAACTGGGTTAGCAAGGTGGTCTGGCCCATCCAAAATACTGCTGAAGTGTTTGCACCAGCATTGGTGCGGACATGGTGAGTCTGATTGTGGAAAGGAGAGAGCACAAATTCATCCTTCCATTAGAAAAAGTGCAGTCTCACATTGGCCTGAGCCAATCTGAGTTCCACCTTGCAGCAGTTGTCATTGCAGGAAGATAGTGGTCCTCTGAAATAAGGGATTTTGTCCTAAAGATGATTGGCGTGTAATTTCTAGCATTTGGGACTCTTAAAGACTTTCACTGGACATTGTTTTCTCATTCCTGCATGAAAATCAGTTGGCATGATTCACACGAATTGCAAGCTGTGCTGGTAGCACTGAGGGAAACATTGAGGTCAGGTTCTGTAGTTCCTTACTGTAGGGACATGAAAGTCCCCAGCAGCAGAAAGTGAAGAAGTCTGGCTTGATGCTGCTTCTCAGATAACCATAAACCAGCTATAACAGACCACTGTCAAAACAATGATAGCAGTAAACATCACTGCTTGGCTGTTCTCCATGCCAGTGTGCATGCACTGCTCTTCACCTCCACCTGGAGCCCATGGTGATCTCTGAGCCAGTCTTCACATACTTCAAATGAAGCCAGATTCAGGATCAGAGTCCAAAATTGTCCCTGTTGGTGCCAAAAAAAGGGAACAGGAGTTTTAACAGTCTTTATTATTAAACACTGGAGGTATTTTTTATTTTCATTTGGGTTACTCTCCACAGTATGTCCCCCTCTGGGCTGGTAAAGGTGCTGCAGTCAGACATCCATCTCCTTTTATTATAAAATAAAGACCTCAACTCATGAAAAATGGGGGGGAAATGTATTTTTAAGAGTCTATATTATATAAACTATTTTTTTCATGGATCAAGGAGCATTTTTAAATGTCTTTTATAGGAATGTCTTATAGGATAACAAAACTCTTCTTAGCTTGGTGCACATATATGTTACACATATTTCTATCTGAAAAGAAAATACTTAGTTTTATTAAAGAAAGCTTAGCATTATTATTGTGATGAGGTACACAACTCTTTTGAAATTCCCATAACATTTTTCTGCTCAGAGGAGTTAGTCCTGTTTTCTGTAAAGTCTCCTCAAAGTGTAATGCTTCATTAAAATTAATAAGACTGTGACCTACATAATTTACTGAAGAATTAATACTGCAATAAAATGAAGACCATATTCTTACTGTGCAGTTAATTTTTATTTTTCCTTTATATTTTGGATGTGCACTTCTTCCTCTGAAGTATGTGTCAGACTAATGCACAAATAGTGTTCATCAAGTGAAAATGCAAAAAGGGTGTCTTTGTGGCCTCTTCTGGCAGGGTATGTTGATAGTTCTAATGCTGCCTTGTTCCCCTAACCTACTGGTCCTAATGACTGATTAAACACTCTAGCATCAGCTTTTCGAGAACTTTCTTGTTTGGGATTTTTTTTAATATATATTTTTGCTGCTCAGGATTCCACGAGGATCAGGAATTGTCAAAACTACAAAGAAAAACTCTTGTCCAAATTTTATGTACAGTTGTGGCTCAAATGAACTTGGTATTCAGACCTTCCAATCGAATCAAACTTTAATCTTTGGTCCATGAAGACAATCTTGCCATGTTCATGGACCTTTGGTCTATGAAGACAATTTGGAGCATTGATGAACCTCTGTTCTGAATTTGCCTAAAAAAGTTCACAGGTTAGGACACAAGCTAGAGACACATAAGCAGTTAGTAGTTACTACAGGTGGACATAGTAGCTGAACTACTGTTGTTGCCTAACTTTGTCTGTTATAAGCCCACTATCGGCAGTTGTCTGAGATTTGGCTGGTGTCATTCACGTAGGCTGAGGAGAAGTCCATCCATGGAAATGGCTGGTGGTATATGAAAAAAGGACAGCTTTACAGGACACATCCTTGTTCCCAGGCTTGGTGCAAGTAAAGGGCATTTTATTTTAGCAAAATTTGAAAGAAAGACTTCAAAGAAATGTTTTCTTTGATGAAATACAAAGAAGTCCTGTGTCCTTGAGGAGGACTGTTGGCATTCTACAATAGCTTCCAAAAATTGGATGCTATGCATAGAGTGTTTGTCTCTGTGTATGAGTTTCTTTTAATTGGCATGTAACAAATATAAAATTAGAAAGTGGCACAGCATAAAAGAAGATAATATTAAAAACAAATCTTAGCAGACTTGAACTATGTTACTTTGCTGGAAGTTTGAGTTATGCCTCACGGGTCCTTGCTGCATTTCATATTTTAAAAATTATTGTGACCTGTAATTGTGGCACAGAACTTTTTAGTGGAGCAAAGAATAAGACAAAATTTCTGTTTGGGCAGCCATTAAAACTTGTATTCAGTCTTTACACTGACTTTGTGTAGCCAGGTGGTATGAGTAATGGCCAGTATATCCCTGTTTAGTTTATTTAATGAAAATCTCTTTCCTTCTCCTTCTTGCAGTTGATCTCAAGAAAGGCTCATGTCCAAGTGCTGCAAAGTCAAATCTCCCCAAGCCGTGCCCGTCTGGACTTCGTCCTCCAGGTTATTCACGGTTGCCAGCAGCTAAGCTGGCCGCATTTGGTTTTGTCAGGAGCTCAAGCATATCTTCTGTCTCCAGCAACCAGTCAAATGAGAGCACTCAGAGTGATCAAAGCAGGACAACTAACCGTAAGTACAAAAAGTGTACTTCTTTCAGGGGGGGATATTAAATAGATGTATTCCACGATTGTCCAGGCTAGAGTTTGCATCTAATTTTGGATAAATGTAATCTGTGCAGCACACACTAATCTCTTCTGTGCCACTGAGTTGTAGGTTTGGTATCTTGATTCCCCAGTGTAGTTTTAAAAAATATTATCAATAGTAGATGAATAGTTGTTGAATGTACACTGCGTATAGAAGGGGATGGTTTCCCTGCTGCAGAGAAAAATGAGAATCACATTGAGATTGAACCTGAGGCATTTTTGTATTCTGTTTTTACTTAGAATATCCCTTCTTACAAGCTGAAGTAAGTAAATAATCACAGTAAGCTGTGTTTGGTAAATACGTTCCAGCCATGCAGAACAGTTTAGGACAAAGATTATCTAAAATGAGCAACATAATGTTTCTCATCTGCTTTTCTTCTGCCTTTTAATATGCAGTGTAATAAACTTTGTTTAGAAAATTAATCAAATAGTGCCAGTGATATGAAGGGGATCAGAACTGATATCGTAGCTGTTGTGTCATCTACCAGACTTTGAAGAAGCCCGTGGCTGAAATGTCATTTTAAATCCTATTTTCTGTAAAGACTGTTAATTTTATTAAGTACAAAATAATACCTAGTGGGTTGTGCAGTCCTTGGGAAGTGTGCACGGGCCCTGGGCTCAGAGCGGAAAGGGGGATTGAGGGATTTTTATGCCCATTTTTCTTTGAAGATTGGATTGAGCCTGAACTGTGTCAATATCAAAGCAAGCAGTATCAGCCCAGGAGGGTGCAGACCAGGTGATATGAGGCACCAGAGGAAACAAGATGTTCCAGGCTCCTAAATCTTTCAGTGTTTGTATTAATTTGAAATTAATTAAAGAAAATAAAATGAAACTAGTTAAAAACCCTAAGGATTTTCTCTTTCCCCTGTTATATGGGGTAACTGAAATGCCAAAGACTGATGTGTCCGGGGACTTTTAACTTCTCCAATGCTCCGAAACATACTCTTGAACCCTGTTTTACTGTTGGACTGACTGCTCATTTCTGTTTATTTCATAATAAAGTTTACTTTGATGGTAGGTACCTCTTTTGCTTTGCACATATACCCTACATTTATGCCATTGGAAAGATTTTCCTTTTATATGATGTTGTAATATTTTTGTCTTTGGTTACATAAAATAAGTTGTTAGGGACAGGATTACCTGATTTCTGATTAGATCTGTGACATCTCTGCAAGAAATGTTGTCTAGCAATTTCAGGTGTGAACCTGAAAAAAATGACACCAGTAGGTATAGCACTATCCTAGAACACAGTGGGTGCAGATAGATTCATCCAATTGAGAATTCTCTAAAAGGCAAAAGCCCCAACTTGTGGAATCTGAGTGAATTGATTTCCATTCAAAAATTATGAAAGAAGCATTAGTAATCTTAGATCCAGAAAGTTGTGTCTGATTATTCATCTTTAAAGAAACTGATTTCATTTTTATATTCTGGTGTATTTTTATATGAAACCATATTCCAGTCACAAGGATGTGGAAGTATTTGGTGCATACATTCTCTTTTGGTCCACTTGTTTGAAGATGGCAACCCTCTTTAATTTTAGGATTAGGATTTTGTGACCAACCTGTGTATGTTGCAAGAATGTTTTTGGATGGATGTGAAAATTACCCAGGGCAAGTGTTCAGCTTCATGTAGAGAAGAGCTCAGTATGTCACCTGACGAAAATTAGGACTTGCCACTTCTGCTCTTGCCAACAAGTTATACAGTTCATGTAAATGGTTGTCTAGCTTTCCTCCACCTCCATTAGAGAGCAAGAGAAGGAGCACCTCTGGATGGCCATGTCTCACACGTGGTTTCTGCGACATGCACAGCTGTCCAATCCAGAAATGGCAACTGTTTTATTTGTCTTTAATTCCGAATGGATAATGCTTCCTCCTGGACAGGGGTAAGAGAAGTAGAAGGTCTGTTGCCAAGGGGCTGAGCATACACCCTGTGTTTAGGCTGTCAACCCTTGGGTAGGTCATCACATGAGAAGACACTTAGAGTCACCTGCTTTGTTTGCATTAAAGGCAACACAAATCCTGTTCATCATTCCTGATAGAACAGATAGATAGGGAAAACAAATTATTAACTTTCACAGAAATATTAACAGTGTGAAACTCTAATAGTTTTCTATTTATAGTCTATGTGCCAGCAAGAGTTAAATTAGTTGCCCAGCACCCAGGGAGCACAAATTAGTTGCTTTCCATTCTACCACAGCTTATTTAACACGGATCAGCAGTGCACTTCAGCATGCACAGAAAGTAACCCTGGAGTGGATGTAGGGGAGAAGTATTGGCTCAGAAATCTTAGCATGACATATTATTTATTCCCTTCACTGTCTACTGGAAGAATGGTTTTATTTAAATTAAATAAATAGCTGATTCTGTAGTTACTACCTGAGATCATGTCTTTGACTAAATCGGGCTTCCTAGAGGGCAGGGTAAAGTCTTACTGTTAATTTCCTAGCTCAGTAGGGTAGAAAATGCAGAATGATGTAGCTTTTGAAATCTTTGAAGATACATAATACAATTTCCTATTTAAGCAGCATCTTTGCGTGTCTGGGAAATATAAGTAAAAAAAAAGAAAACATCTTACAAGTGCGCATATGTTATAGATAGGGGGGCTACCACTATTTTAAATGGAAGGGCTCACCTCAAAATCTTTTATCTGCTGTAAAAAAAATCACAATGTTTTCCAAGTTGCCAGAAAGCAAATGGCTATGGCTGGATGAGAAGAAAACATTGGTTTATTGTAGAGGCAGAGTGTTTTAGGGGAGATGGTGATTCTTGAAGGAGTCCTAGTGTGATCTTGTTCTTTCTCTTATCTCCCCTGCCAGATATCTCATGGTGAGCTCTTCCCAAAACCATCATGGTTACATTTCTTTCCAAAAATCTCAACTAGCATCTCATTTTGGCATACTAATACCGATTAAATGCTGTCTAGAGGTTAAAACCCCACTTGTTTAGCATAAGAAGATGTGATGTTTGTGTTGCAGGGAAGTTTGATAGTAGAGCTACAATGCGACAGCTTTGTTCTTCATCAGATAGTAATCCCTTAGTAATTCCCTTCCCTTAACCTCTCTGAAAGCAGTAAGCCTGGGTGCGCATGGAGTCTGTCCTGCACTCCTCGGCTGGCAATTTTGGTTATATTCTATATTCATTTTCCGTGTTCTGATTGACTTAATTAAATGCATTTTCAGCAGTAGAACTGTGGTAGGGACAGGGCAGGCCATGCAGTGGTTGCCTGCTTTCCCTCTAGTCTTTCCTGGATTCCTGTCCCTGGGGTGTGGGTATAAGCCAGGCTGCTGTTTGCTGATAACACTCAAACTTCAACAGCCACACCATCAGCTGCTGACCAGGATCAGTCATAATGGGCCTCTGCTCCTGTGGGGTCCTGCCCAGTTTTGTGCTGGGGCTGAAGGGAGACCTCTAGCATTCAAACCACCCGGCACCTCTCCAGCTTCTGGGGCAGGGAACTGACCTGCAACTCAAGGTCACTGATCAATTTTGACTACTTAAAATCCACTTTCTGGTGCTTTTGTGTAACTTGTGGTTTGCACATAGGAGAGCCAGGGTCCATGAAGCTCATCTGGGATGTTGGTGCCATGTGAGGCAGCTTCTTGCCTTTCCGAGGGATGCAATAACAGAAGCAAAAGACCAATCCATTTCAAAGCTGGGTCCTAGGATGGATCAGGAGAGCTTACCACAGCTCACCACTGGCTGTGCTGCTGTGTTCAAAATGAAATGACCAGAAAGTGGTTCATGTCATACACTAAAGGCTCACAGTTGTGGGATGTGGTTCCCAATATTACCTTGTGATTCTGCAGTACAGTAACACATTACCCAGGCTGTAGTTTCTGTTTTATTAATGTAAGGGGCACAGAGTTCTCTCACTTGCTTGTACCTGTATTGACAGCGATCGGCTGAATGTCCTGCTCACATAATTAATTTTATGGACTAGATTTTAATGTGCTGTAAGTCCCACATGGGAAGCAGATCATTAAGCACTGTGAAACAGTTTGGTGTGTGGAGCACTGGAAGAAAGATGGATTGTTTAGAATGAGTTGAGATATGATAGCTGCTCTGAGTTTAGGAAATGGAGAATGTAGGTACAATATCAGGAAATAATTTGTAGTCATAAGGTCTACTAATCTGTTAAACAACTTTCCAACTCAAGTGATTAAATTCCTGTTGCTTAAGATTCTTAAAATAGAATAATAGCATGATGTTACAGGCAATTCTTCTCTGGCAAGGTGCTAGACTAAAAGACATAATTCTATTCAATATCTACCCACAGCTCTGAGTGCTGAAGCAATTTCTTTTCAGACTGAGCAAGAAAATTGTGATGAATATTTCAAAACTTGCTTTAGTATCTCATGACAGCTATTGTTTTGTTTAAAGTTATAGAAATACAAAACTTTGTTTTGTGTAAACTTCCAAGATCCCCTCTTCAATTTATAGATATCATGCTGGTTTTTGACCTTGCATTGCCTGGCCTTTCTAAATACTGAATTTCCATTCTAATAAGCAAAGATGTCAGTGTGTCAGATTCAGGTAGGTGGAGAAATGGGGAAATTAAAGTGAGCACAGAAGCCTTGAATAGATGGCTAATTACCTCCAAAGAGGTAGAACAGAACATTCAAAACTGTGACATGATGGGCAGATACACCAATTGTTCTTAAATACATGTGTAAATTCAAAAATTTTCCTATATGAAAATACATTCTAATCATAATTCTATGACTGATTATCTGTTCTTTTTTCTACATGGCAAATTCAGGTGTTTTTTCCTTCTAATCTTGTCCTGATACCAATATTTTGATGAAAAAATCACTTTATGCTATCACTTCACTATGAATAGACTGAAATAGAACAGTATTGAATTAGCATTTTCAGCTTTGTGAGGCAAAGCGTCTGGAACAGTGCAGTATGTCAGCCAGGAAGAGCA